TGACACTTGGGAGAATGGCTGTTGGGGGCCGTTGGGAGGGGCTGTGAGGGGCAGTTCGAAGGGGGCAGTTGGAGAATGGCAGTTGGAGAATGGCCGTTGGGAGCAGTCGGGAGGGGGCAGTTGGACAGTCTGCACGGGGCAGCCCCGAGGCACAGTTTGCCCTGGGGCAGGCGGGAGGTGACACTTGGGAGAATGGCCGTTGGCGGGAGGGGCAGCCTGCTCTTGGGTAAGTGCTCGGCGCCGCGCCTCGCCTCGCCCCGCCCCGCCCCGGGGGCAGAGTCAAGAGGAAGGGGCGGGGCAGGGCCTGGGTCGAGGATGGAAGGAAGCGCCAGGACGGAGGGGCGGGGTCTCGCTGCGCCGCGGCGGACAGACGCCAGGGAAGGGGCGGAGTCGCGTCACGCTGGGGCGGGGTCACGTAGGAGGGGGCGGGGCCCGCACGGCGCTGGGCTGGGGCCTGTTGTGTGTGAGGAGCTTGGGCCGTACCGGGAGCCCGTTAGTGGCTGCTCCGGCTCCCTCCCCACCCCCGTCCCCAGCCCCGCCGCCTCCCCTCCCCCCCACCATGGAGGACCCGTCCCGGCTGCTGGCGGCGGCGCACGGTGCGGGGGTCTCCCTGCCCGGGGGGATCCCGCCGCCTCCCTCCGCCGGAGACCCGGCCGCCGCCGCCCCCCCACCGCCGCCCCCGCATCGGCTCCAGCCGGGGCCGCCGCCCCCCGGGCACCAGGATACTGGGGACATCCTGCAGCAGATCATGGCCATCACCGACCAGAGCCTGGACGAGGCGCAAGCCAGGTACCGCAGGGGACGGGGATGTGCGGCCCGTCGGGCAGGAGATCCGGGGTCCGAGCAGCGCCTGCGGGGAGGCTTCCTAGGTGGGCGGCAGCGCCGCGGCTAGGCGGAGGGGGGTGTCTGGGTGCGGGGCCGGAGGGGGCTCTGAGCATAGAGGGCCTGACTGGGGGACCTGGAGTCTCTGAAGCTCGAGGCTCTGGGGACTGAAGGGTCTCGAGTCCTGGGGTTTTTAGGCATCAGGGCCTGGGCTGTGTAGGGCAGTCTCTGGGGGCCAGGATATGGGTAGAGAGTCTCCAAATCCTGGAATCTTTGGGAACCAGAGCCTGGTTCCAGGGGATGGCAGTGTGTGTCACTAAAGTGTAGAGTGGGGTAGTGTCTGGCATCTGCTTTAGGTGGGCTGTGAGCACCAGGTGATCAGGCTCCTGCGTACTAACTTCCCTGCTTGTTTCCATCTCCCGTATTGCTTGTGAATTTGTATGCTGGGCAAGGCGTGAGGCAGCCTGATTTAGTTTCACAGAGGAACTTTGCTTAAAACGGTAGAGTTAGTTATAGTGTTGAGACCCTGGTAACGTCTTAGGAGCAAACCCTCAGTATGGGGTTACAGTTTATTTAAGGGACTTTAGTGCTGGTAAAAGGTGTTTGCCTGACAGTCCTGGAGACTGAAGTTCCCTATACATCCTCAGTTCAGGCAGCAATAAAGCAAACTTTCCTCGGGCACTGTTTAGCTAGTGTGTCTCAGCCCTGCTCTGGAGAGACCCCCACCTCATGGATGACAGCAGTCCATGTTTTGATTGGCCTCTCATTCTTTGGCTGCTGCTGAGACTGCTTTTGGGGCACAGGAAGTTCGATGGTGGAGATTTTTGATATAGACACTTATCTGCTAGGAATAGAGATGAGACCCACAAGTTTATTTCACACAGGTTACTTAATGAAGTCACCTAATGAGAATGTCTCTGACTCACTAGCTGTAGTGGCACAAGTGACCTAGAGATGAAAAGTTCTACATTCTTTTACTGATTTCCTGAGCCACCCCATTTCCTTTTTTCAATTCTCTTTAGAGCCCTGAACATGGAGGATTTGAGGCTGTGGATCTAATTTTTTAATTTCTCACTTGCTAGTTCTGCTCAGGGAAAATTTTTAACTCTACTTTATTTTCCCATCACAATAAGAATAAGAGTGGAGACTTTCAGTGTGGGAGATGAACAGTTAATTTGTATATTGACTGAGAGGTTCTTGTACCTTTGTCCCATTGATAACAGACTGTGAACTGTTTAACACTTGCTTATAGTGCTGTAGAGGTGAGTTGATTTCTTAGGCCAGCTTGTAAAAAATAATTCTGTCTTAATAATTGTCCTTTCGCTACTGCAGATGGGGGGGTTCAAATCATAGCTCCAGTCACAAGTGAAAATGATTTTTTTCTGTCTGTTGCATGACTACTGTATAATTTGACCTAGTAGTAGAATAAATGCAAGGTTGTGATTGCAGCTCAGGATTGAAGGGCCCTGGCAGAGAGTTGTGTTTGTGGTAGGGAGAGGCACGTGCACACGGGAACTGAATGGCAGGTGTATTACACTTCAGGTCTAAGATGCTTTGGCAGAGCTATGTGTGAGCAGTTTTCACAGCACCTGGCTGCACTATGTCTGAATCACCCCACACTTGGGCGAGAATTAACTGTACTTGTATTTAAAGAGAAAAGCCTACCTGAGGAGTACATTCTCTTTTGTGCGTATTGTATGCTCTTGTGATTCTCAAGGGGATGTAACTAATAAAGTGAATAACATAACCTGATGTAAAAATATCAGCATAATTCAAGATCTTCTAGTTTCTTTTCTCTGCCCTAGGGGTGTTTGTGCTCCTGATTGGCTTTCTGTAATTATATGTTTTGCTTACTTGGTATGTACGGGTTGTAGAAAGTACGTACACTAGAGGAAGCAGTTTGGAAAGTGGAGGATTGTAAAACAGTTCTGGCTTATAAAATTAGCAAATGAATACTCATGAATCAGATTCCAGACAGTGATTTGTGACTTTGGTTAGGACTCTGGCTGACTTTCCATTATAAATTACCTAAACCAAGGTTTATTTACTCTGAGAAGTTTCTTTGGCCTGACATTTAAGCCTTGTCTATGCTAGGAAAACTACCTGTTGGTGTCAGCAGCTGAACTGGTGCTGAAAATGTTTTAATTTGTAAATGTAGACACTGGCAAGTCATGGTCTGCACTGTTTCAGAAACTGTAGAGCAGGTTTTAACTACACTTTTGGAAACCGTATGAAAATGATTTATCCAAGTACACAGAACTACTGAAAATAAACCCCAGGCCCATAAACATTTTTGGTATGGTCTGAAGATAAGTTCTAACCATATAATAAATGGTTAATAAATTTGTTAGTCTCTAAGGTGCCACAAGTACTCCTGTTCTTCTTCTAACCATATAGTTATTGATTTAAAAAAAAAATGATGATGGGGCTTCCTAGGAGAGCGTTTGTGGTAAAATTAGAGTTTTGTAGACTGTATTTACTGAAGAAAGATATTGTTCTACCTTATAGTTTTTCAAACAATATTCTGGACTAGTTTGAGTCAGAGGGACACTTCAGAGGTGCTCTTCTGTGTTCCTCTTACGCCAAAACAATGCACGTTGAAATGGAAAAAAAAAATACTGAAGGGGATGTCGCTACTATTTCAAGCTCCTTACATATTTTCCATTACTGGTGGTGGTATGAGGCATCCCCTAATATGCTCTCTCTTCTTACCAGTCACTGCAACACAAAATTAAAGCTGCCTATAGTTGCTTCATAGTAAGTGCATGCACAGATTAATGTGTATGTCACACAAGGCACTGCAGTTCTGTTTGATTTTCAAAACTCATTTACAAGAGAGCTGAAAAAGTTGTGCTTAGGAAGTTTTTTGTTTTGCCCATAAACAATAATTTAATTATGGGGTCATAGTGCTTTTTGTGTATGCTAAATTGCTTTAGCTATTTTCAGTGTTTTTAGAAAACAGAAACTCCTAGAAAAAATGTTGTTAGATCTTTTAGGCACAAAGTTTTTGAAGGCTCAAACTTTATAAAAAGTGCCCTTGCATGTGAGATGATTGTGCATGCAAAACACAGGTTCTTGCATTATAGACAATTATGGGTCCATCTGTGCAGTCTACTTGCAAACGGAGAATCTTGGTAAGAAGGCCTATATGTCATTGTAAAGAAAGCAAAGCAACCCTCCTCAAATCTAGTGTAACCAGTAGCACAGATGCTTCAGGGATGTTAGGCAGAGTGTCCTGGAATACCTACCTATCTGCAAGATGGCTTGGCCATGATTTAGCTCCAGATGTTTTATTTACTAGAGTTTAATTTTACTCTGTATTAAAAAATCTGCATATTGAACTGTACTGGGTTTCAAATCCTCATAGCCTCACTGGGGCCTCTTGAGTTTCAGAACTTTGAGTGTTGATATTCTAAATTTTAGACTGCAAGCTAAAAACTGAAGAGAAGTTGTTTTATTTAAACTAAATTAATCTGCCAAAAATTACATTCATTAACCCGCTTAATATCAATGTTAATCAACTTTATCATTCTACCAAAGAATAAATATTGGCCATATTAGCTATGTAATGACTTCTGGACAGCCTGTTTCTGAGAACTTATAACACATCTAGCTTATTTAGTGTGTAAATCAGCTTTTTTAGCCCTGTTTTTATGGGAGCTGAGTTTGAAGGCCTGGAATTGGTGGTTTGTCATCAAGCAAGGACAATAGAATTCACTTGGCTTTCTTTTCAGCTGCCTTTGTTCTCAGGCTGCTTGTCTGTGGGTAGATATTGATCTGCTTAGATATCTGATAATGTGCATTATGCCTTTCTTGGTTCCATGTATTGAAGTAACCTGGTCAGTGGACTTCAACTTGTGATATTTTGCTTAATTCTTGTATTGTATTTGAATATTTATGGGAGGCTTGCAGCTACCTGTTGTAAATCTTATTGGTGAGGGATTGTAAGGAAATTGAGTTCCCTTTTAAGCCCTTACCCATATCAGGATGATCTGTATTTAATAAAGAAAGCTTCTGAAAAGGGGTTACTCCTTGCTCTGAATGTACTTTAATTAAATAATTTAAAAATTACAAAAGGGGTCATCATCAAAGGAGGTGGTGGTGGAGGGAATTTTTAAAGGCACAAATGGCAGGTACTTAACTTCCAGTGGAAGACAGGTGCCTAATTGCCATTTCTGCCTTTAAAAATCTCCCCCAGAGAAATGTAAATTTTTTTTAGTATCCCGTTCCAGAGAGATGTTCTAATAAACTTTGTGAGGATGGTTCACAGTGTGTCTGGAAGCTAAGATGCAATTGCAGCTACATGTCTGGCTGTAATTGAGAATATGGCATCACTTTTTGGGTGAGAGATACACCAGAGCTGATGCCACTGCTATATTTTCAGTGAAGTAGTATGCTATATAAGATTTTTCAAATAGCTTAAGTATTCAGCTGTGTATGAAGATTCCTCAGCAAATGTCTGGGGGGGAAAAAATAAAGGTACCAGAACCTACAAGAACACTTGGCCAAGCTTATTTTTAAGGCTTCTGAATGAGACTGAAATAAAATTTAATGCCTTCTGTGACTAGAGGAAAGACCAACTGAGATTGTAATGGAAAGAGCTTTACCATTGATAGGGAGAGAAGCAGACATTACTTGCCGTGGATGGAAAAAAGGGCAAAGGAATTAATTTCAGCATTCTTGTATATTTTGGTATTAGGAAAACTGTATTTTTGCTGATGCAAAGTGTATCTCATCAGTGTGTTTGAGAACTCCTTTTGTAGTTTCTATTTCAAACTTCTTATGATATACAGGGATACAAAGTGTGTGCATAGGTAAAAATAGAGGATTACAAAGTTATTTCATATTTTTTCACTCTTTATAGTAATCACTTGAAAGTGTGAAACTTGCTAACATATCCCCTCCCCGCCCATGTTGATGTACACAATATTGGTTCCAAATGTAGTAAAACATTGTGAAAATAGTTAACTTGTGCAGGATACCATGACTGTTGTTGTTTAAGTAGTAGTTTTAAATGGGGGGGAAAAAAAGAAAAAAAAAAGTAGTTTTGGATACTACACTTGCCACTCAGTTTCTTATCAATTTTTGTGGATTTATACTCGCATGTTCTGCTTTCTAAAATGTTCTCTTTGTTTTATGAATGACCCACACAGACTGGGAAAACTGACTATGCAAGGGAAACAGTGAATGTTTATGTGGGTTCTGTCAAACAGGAATAAAATGATTTGTTTCTCCTCTCTGTCAATTACAAGTAATGTAGTGGCAGCTTTTAATAGTAGATTAAAAACTTTTTTGACAGAAGTGATTTTTTTAAGTTGACTGTGTCCTCTTAAACTATTAGCAGCATTCTGCAAAACAAAGTTTATTTACATAGAGATTTGTATAAATCAATTTCCATTGCATACAAAAAATGAATACTTTCCCATTTAAAAGAATACCCTACCAAGAAAAAACTGTAGTAACAAGACATTTGCCTGTCATCTCCCTGATGACTTAGTTTGTATTTTATATCTGTCTATCCTACCCTTCATCTATTTTGTCATGTTCAATTGTAAGCTATTTGAGGCAGCTACTGCATCTACAGTGCCTGTTGGGCATTACTGAACTACAAAATAAGAAATATTTCTGGAGTGATATCTTAGGTTTATTTAGAGGGTACATTGAAATAAAGTGGACATTGTTTACTCAGGGCTAGTGATGTAATTTAATGTACTCTCTCTTTCCACAAACAAGTGTAACATACTTATTAATCTTTTTCCCCTTCCCATAATTTCTGTTTGGATAAACAAGGACAAAAAGTGAGGTGGTATCTGTCTCAAACACTGGAAGCATCATGTGGCTTCTGTCAAAGGAGAATGAACTTTAGGTTGTTTGGAAAGGACATGGACATTCTAGTGGGGCTTGAGTGCCCCTCCAGCTACAGCTGTGTCAGAGTTTCTATTGTAAATCCCTTTCTTTGATAGAATTACATGGGTGCATCAAGGTGAGATATAGCTCATAATATGCAAATGATGCTTTTAATATATTCACAACAAACATAACCACTCCAAAGAAGCAGTTAATGTATGCTATGATTTCATACTAAGGATGCAGTCAGACACAGTCTTCATGGTATTCCACAGTATGAATTTATAACTAGTTAAATATGATGTGGCTTCTGGCACTAGGTCCTCCTGCTTGCACAGAGGTGTCCCTTAACAGACAACCAGCCTGCTCTTGATCCAGTTAAGGCCTACCCCTCCTTAAAAAGCATCTCTACCTTTCATCCCTCTTGCCCAGAGATCCCAACAATGTCTTCCATTTCTGTTCTAGGGGAAGAACAGTCTCCTTTTGTTTGGAGACTGATGCTTGTTTTGATTTTGATTAAACTAAAAGAAACAATATTTGATTTGATCAATGGTAATTGAGTTCTGTTTTGTTTTTAATGTTCAGAATCTGTATAATTTAAAAATGCGGATCTCGCTCATATTTTAGATGGACTACTTTGTTAGAGCAATTGGAAGAATACTAATTCAGAAAGCAGCTGTTTGTTGACTACATCATATAAAATATACTTTCGGTAGAGTTTAATTTCTGTTTTGCTTCTGCCAACTATAAGCAATTGAGTATTTCAAGGCTATGAATTATTCTGGTAGAGAGTTTCTGGTGACGACCTTGGGTGAACTGTGTGACTAGAACTTCTAAATGTACGTTAATCTTATGCTCTGGTTTGCTCATTTTTACAAATACATGGAATCTATTTTTTATAAACCTTGGCACTCCTGCCTCTTTCCCCTTTAACTTGGCATTCATCTTTTCTTTCTCTCCTTTTCAGAAAACATGCCTTGAATTGCCACAGAATGAAACCAGCTCTTTTCAGCGTGCTGTGTGAGATCAAGGAAAAAACAGGTGTGTTGTTGGAATTTTTGAATGATTTTTGGAAAGTTGGGTATCAGAAATGAACAGCTCCTGGGTCAAGTGCAATTGAAATAGGTCTTTACTGAGTGGATGATTTTTACATCTTAAGGCTTTAATGGTGATTTCCTGGCCCATTGTGCTTCTGTAGGTTGGAGATTATTTGCAGCATGCTTCCTACAAAGTAGGCCGTGCCCTGATTTGAAGGAAATATTACTGCTCACTGCTTTTTGATTTGAAAAACAAAATAAAATGTAAGCATTACAATTATAATCTCTGAGTAGACATGTGTAGACACAAAGGGGTGACAACCAGAATGTCTTTAATAGAATGCCCATATCATGCCATTTCTTGAAAGAAGATGGTCCCAGTACTGTGGAGGGACTAGGAGATTAACATTGGAAAATGAACTAGACCACAGAAAAGAGTCTGTGAGGAGAAGCAGCAGATAGATGGGGAAAGAAGACAAAAGCAGCAGGAAACTGAGTTGACAGGTGGATTATGCGAATTTATTTTCTTTGTGAGCAGGAATGGGGTTGTTAGGAGCGAATGGATTTTGATTTTGGCCACCCAGTGTATCAATTGTTCATCTATAAACTTCTGGGCAGTGATGTCGGGATGTTTTATTGTGTTTTGTTGTGTAAACTTTTGAGTTTATTGAATTTGGATGCTATATTAAAGGATAATTACTTGTAGAACCTGTTTAATTGTAGAAAATGTGTTCTTTATTATATAGGTTGCTTAACATTAATATCCTAATACTGCCCTTGATACTGAACCTGTACAGAAAAAATAACTTGTAATTATCTTGTATATCAATTTTGTACCATATTTCCAAACTAAAGGCCATCTAGTTTTATCTTCAATGATGTCCTTGGCATCAAAGGCAGTATGTGATACTAAATGAAATGCAACACACTCTCACTTTTGTGTTAAGAAAATGTTATAGTTGACGTATTTTGAGTTCTCATGGCAGCAATTTTCTTTTGTTGTAGGAAAATTTTATAGGAATAGAAATTTGTGAACTGTTATGCTGTAGTCTCTTACGGCTGTTTATCCTATGTGGTTTTTTCCCTTGAGCAGGAGCTAATCTTAGGACAGCTAAAAGGAGACTAATCCAAGCGCTTCAGCACACTTTTTATTTGTTTTTCCATGTTGGTATTTGCTTGCTCTGTGTTATAACCTGGAAGTTTAACTTCTATTTGACTTAAACATATTTGTAACAAGAGACTCCAGTACCTTGGCTACGGTGGATTTGTTTTGGTCTCATAGGTTTTTGAATGTCTGATGGCCTGTCTGTTCTTTATTTAAATTATGGAGAGCAGATGTTATGGCTTCAAGCAAATAAAAGCCTGGACATACTGTAGCATAAGGTTTAGGCTTTCTTTGTGACCCAGGCGCACAGGCTTCCTTTCTAGCTCTGAATCAGTTTAAAACATGTTTGGCCCCCCAAACCTCTCTCCCACATTCCCTTTGTTAGTGTGCCAGTGTCACTCACAATAGCTCAGGATAAGCCATGTGCCCCTCCATTGAGCAGCCAGCTGGAAAGTGTAGAGAAATTTTGCCCAGAAAGTGCTTTTAAAAAAATACTTGTAAAAGTAACTATTCTTGTTTGCCAGTTAAATTGATTTATCCAAATCTAGCCTTCTCTCAAACTACTGTTTGAACTCTGGATTATATGATTTCTTTTATATTTTTCTTTTTGGATTAAATAATTCAGTCACTGTAGTTTGTAGAATGACATTTTTATTTCTATACTTCACCCGGAAAAATATACTGAAATAGGTATTTCACTTTCAAGTATGTCCTAGATATACACACTCCACACGCATTTATTGAAGGTACATCTAACCCAAGCAATGTATGAGGGGGCAGACAGTGCTGCCTCAAGGAGTACAACAGCACATTGCTCCACTTAAGTCCATACTAACCTCCTTCATAATAATACCCACTTAGTTCTTTTGAGAACTGGCAAAAGTACTATTCCGTCTTAGAATATTTTAAAAACTTTTTGTAAATAAATCTGTCTAGCAGACTCTTTTCTTGGTGTTCAGCTGCCATGGACATCAGATGCTTGACTCCAGATAGCTATGCTTGTCCAAATATAAAAGCTGATTATAGCTTTAATGTCCAGGTGTGTACATTGATGGAAATAAAAGCAAATATTATCCTTGAGGATTTCCTTTTCCTGACTGATTGCAGCAAACACCTGAGTTATGTTGGGTTTCAAGCTCTTTAGGGCAGGGGCACTGTCTCCTTATGTGTTTGTACAGTGCCTAGCAAAATGGGGCTCTGATCTTGATTGAGGCTTCTGGGCATGACTGCAGTACAAAGAATCAATAAGTATTTTGACAGGTTATGCATCCGAAGAAGTGGGCTGTAGTCCACGAAAGCTTATGCTCTAATAAATTTGTTAGTCTCTAAGGTGCCACAAGTACTCCTGTTCTTCTTTTTTAATAAGTATTTTGTTTAGCAATTTATAATACATACCATTCCCCCCCCCCCCACTGACTGCAATACGGTGTCCTTCCTCTAAAATGCTGGTTGTTCAAATAGGTTAATTCAGTTTGTACTTTTTCATTCCATTATAGAACTTGGCAAGTGCTGTGGGGCTAAATGGGTGTTTTCCCGTTGTCGCTGGGTTTGACGACATTGCTACATTGTTGTCTTGTTCCTTAGCACTCAGAATCATGCTTGTCTTCCTTCTGAATTAGTTTTCTTCTTCTGTGGTGGAGAATCTACAAGACCTTCAGATATTGACTTTTAAGAAAGTTCTGTCCTGTCACAACGCTTGACACCAGAAGAGGAGAAGCCGACTCCCTAGGGTGGAGGTGGGGGTTGAGGGCTGTTGTTCTTAGCAGAGGGTCATTGGCTGTGGAATTTGCTCCCTCTTGTGGCTAGTGATAGCTTGGATGTGATAGCCTTCAGAGTGCAATGAGAGGCCCATTTGTTAAATGATGCGATTATGAGGGTTTCTCTCTTGGTAGCAGTAAGGGATGGCTTGAAGTGATGTGTGTGGAGATTATTTAAAAAAAAAAATTGTATGGCTACCAAATGCCATTGCGATAGGCACCAAGTCTTAAAATAATGTAAAATGTGTACACTTTCTACATGCAGTTAGTTAGTGCTGATTAGTTAATCCCAGTTCCTGCTGAGAGCCAATTAATTACCCTGCAGTTCTATTTTAAAAAATGACTGTTAAAAAGGAATCTTCTTACTCCATAGATTCCCTCATGTCTCATCAGAATTGTTTATTAAATTCCAGTCAGTCAACATCTGTACAACCCTCTGACTCCCAGTGCCTTGCGCTTTGTGTAGTCATTTTACACCTGTACAAAGTGGGCCAGTAAGACCTGCATTTTCAAATCCACCCTATCCCTCTTCTAATGCCTTGAAATTCAAAGGGGTTAACATTCAAGGTTCTGTTTTTGTGTGCCGTACAGCCAGTAGATGTATTTACCTCTAGCTTTTCTGTTCTGTTGCCACGTGGAAGAAAATCTGGAGAGGAAAACAAGCCTAAACAAATTGCATATCATTTTTATTTTGGCATCAGTGATCTCATACAGTTCATTACAGAACTGCAGATCTTTAATTAATGATATGTAAATATATTGTAATGATTGCATTTGCATATTGAGTGAGGTTTCAGTACCTTAGGTTGTGATGTATTTTAATTAAGGATTAATTAGAAATGATGGGAATTTCATTTGCCTTAGTATAATTATTTTACATTTTGATGAATATCTAGTGGGTGTTGTGCTGGGGAATGTATAATACCGTGTTAGTGTATATGACAGCACCAGTTTAAAATGCTTTATGATCCTGAAGGGTGTTTGTTAAAAGCATTCATAAATATGATGGATGGATAGTGATAGATTTGGGCATAATACTAAGCCCGGACAAGTCTGAGTCATGCTTAAAACATTGAATGTGTGATAGGTAACTACATAAGCAGAATGGCAGAACGTTTACTTAGAATTGTCTATCTACTGGACAGATAAAAAACAAAATAAATTAGTCTTAATTTATATTTGGTCCCAAGTTTGTACCAAAAACTAAAGTAGGAACCCATGAATTATATATTTTATTTTTCTTTTATTCACTCATCCTCTGGTACTGTACATGGTAATTACCTTTGCGAGTACAGTACAACTGCTAGAAAAAACCCAACTACTCCCACTTTTGTTCAGTAAAGTCTTGACACACAACCCCGTAATATTAATGTTGTTTATTGTACATCTTAGTGTTTTAATATGCAGTACACACTAGTGTAGCTGCAACTTAAAAAATGTGTTGATCTTTTTGTCCAATTTGATATGTTGATCACTTAAGGTATTGATACAGTGATGAACAAATGGATCTAATTAGCATTGTGGTCCAGTGGGCTACCAAAAGGCAAAACATTGCTAGCCCACCTCTAAACTTACGTGACCGAACCAATCCACACAGTAACATATGGGGAAAATGATGTGGGATACCCATGTTAGTTTAGAAGTTTGTGATCACTTTAGTTTTCTTTCTTTCTTATATTTGTGAGAGACTAGCATGTTCTCTCTTTACTAGCTTTGGGAGATGGATCAGATTGAGGCAGCTCAAGCTAAACTTTTCACTTTTGCTTTGTCTCCATCAGAGAAAATAGTGTATCGTCAATTGTCATTGCTTTTAATTAATCATTGTTTAATGCCAATGAAAAATTTTTTTTTTTTTTTTTTTTTTTTTTTTTTTTTTATAGGAGACTTTAAAGGTTCATTTGTGCTACAAATGTCCCTGATTTTTGTGGGGAGGGAGCAGGGGAAGGAGCATATTGACTAGTGTTTTTTTTTTAATGCTTCCACTTTACTTCTGTCAGATCCTGAAGCTGGTGTTGTATTGAGGAGACAAAGATTGCGTTGCGGGCAGACAGATGGGTGTGGCAAATGATGGTTGGTAGGGATGAGATTGGCCTGAATTTAAAAAAAAAAATCAAAAGTATGAGGAGATTCACCTGTTTCTTAACAGACTCTAAAATCCTGGTATTATTCTTGTGTTTCTGTCATAGGCTTGAATTTGTTTAAAGAATCCTTAGCTTCTCACTTTTCTACTGCTCCAAACACATTCTTTTTTGGTAGAAGGCAAACCAGTACTAAATCCAGATGATGTCAACTGAAATGACTTACAGGCAGCTTGTGGTATCTAAATACCCTTCCACAAGCTGGTTTTAATACCACCCTGTACAGTGGCTGTGCTGGTTATGGTTTTGTTCATCCAATCATCCTCTTCCATGATTACTGGCTCTAGAGGGTTGTTACATAAATGAATGCAGCTTTTGTTCTCACTGATTTGAACAGGCTGCTACATGCAGCAAATTCTTGGTTATGAATTCTTCAAATACTTTTGGTATTAATAAAAAATGTCTGATTCATTCAAAATTAACTCAAATGTTAAACTAGTTGAAGAGGGATGTTGAAAGTATTAGGCCTAAAAATTGACCACCTATGACAGCTGCCCCAGTGAAGGCCTGACTTTGAGGAATTTAATGGCTTTATTTAACTATTAAAATATCTGATCTTTGGGGCAATTATATGTATAATTTAAGCGAATTTCAGATAAACCAGGAGGAGTTTAAAATATATGTTGTATAGTAGGTTTAAAAAAGAGAGCTCAGTTGTAATGCTTAGGTTTAATCATCTTGACAGAGTTCCATTAAACAAACATTTGACTTACCAGTGTAGAAGTGTAGCCTACAAAATGTTAATTATATTTAACTCCTCTCTAGTTACTTGTGACTTACTCGAGTCAGCCAACTAAATTCTTCCCTTGAGACTTTACAAGCATTTCATACATGCATTTCAACAGTTGACTTGAGATGAGCCTATGTGTAATTGATAACTAATGTCTAATTACCATAATTAGACAAGTGACAGAAAATTAAGCTGCAGCTGGGAGCTTGACTCTAGCACTGAGGCAGATTCTGATATGCAGTATAGTACATATGGAAAAGGGTTTGGCAGAATTGTTTTCAAATAGCAACCGAGACCCAAATATATCTGCTCCTGTTAATTGTATTTGTACGTACCAATCAAAATACTTTAATGTGAATTTTAGCCAAGATTAGTTAGCAAATGAACTCTGGCTCACTTGCCCCTGTGATTGCAGTCCCATTGGCCAACCCATGGTTCAGAACTATTTGGAAATAGAGAACTGGCAGTTTAAAAAAAAAAAAATTACGATTTTTTTCCCTCTTGTTTCCATGTTACAAAAATATCTATTCAGTAATGGTGCTGTTAGAGGAACACTTTTGTGTATGATCTTCAGTAAAAAATATGCTTTCCTTTGTTTTAGTTTCTGGTAAGAATTTGAATTGCTGCTGATTAAAAAATATGCAACAGTGTCCCTTCCTTACGCTCCTTTAGCAGAATTTCCCATTTATGTTTTAATGGAGAGCATCTCTTCAGTTTGTTTTTCATTTTCTTCTTTCTGTGGAACTGGTTTTGTTCCATTTTCCGAATTAAGAACTGTTTTCTCTAAGTGATCTGAAAGGAATTCAGGAGTACTTCCTGCTGTTGGAAGATGGTTGATTTTGTTTTTTTTCTTTTCATAGAATCATAGAAGATTAGGGTTGGAAGAGACCTCAGGAGGTTATCTAGTCCAACCCCCTGCTCAAAGCAGGACCAACCCCAACTAAATCATCCCGGCCAGGGCTTTGTCAAGCCAGACCTTAAAAACCTTTAAGGATGGAGATTCCACCACCTCCCTAGATAACCCATTCCAGTGCTTCTCCACTCTTCTAGTTAAATAGTTTTTCCTAATATCCAGCCTAGGCCTCCCGTACAGCAACTTGAAACCATTACTTCTTGTTCTGTCATCTGCCACCACTGAGAACAGACGAGCTCCATTCTCTTTGGAACCCCCCTTCAGGTAGTTGAAGGCTGCTATCAAATCCCCCTCACTTTTCTATTCTGCAGACTAAAATAAGTACAGTTCCCTCAGCCTCTTCTCATAAGTCGTGTGCCCCAGGCTCCTAATAATTATCGTTGCCCTCTGCTGGACTCTCTCCAATTTGTCCACACCCTTTAGTAGTAGGGGGCCCAAAACTGGATGCAGTATTCTAGACGTGGCCTCATCAGTGCTGAATAGAGGGGAATAATCACTTCCCTCGATCTGCTGGCAATGCTCCTACTAATGCAGCCCAATATGCCATTAGCCTTCTTGGCAACAAGGGCACACTGTTGATTCATATCCAGCTTCTCGTCCACTGTAATTCCCAGGTCCTTTTCTGCAGAACTGCCACCTAGCCAGTCGGTCCCCAACCTGTAGCAGTGCATGGGATTCTTTCTTCCTAAGTGCAGGACTCTGCACTTGTCCTTGTTGAACCTCATCAGATTTCTTTTGGCCCAATCCTCCAATTTGTCTAGGTCACTCTGGACCTTATCCCTACCCTCCAGCATATCTACCTCTCCCCCCATCTTATTGTCATCCGCGAACTTGCTGAGGGTGCAATCCATCCCATCATCCAGATCATTAATGAAGATGTTGAACAAAACCGACCCCTGGGGCACTCCGCTTGATACCGGCTGCCAACTAGACATCGAGCCATTGATCACTACCCGTTGAGCCCGACAATCTAGCCCAGCTTTCTATCCACTTTATAGTCCATTCATCCAATCCATACTTCTTTAACTTGCTGGCAAGAAATACTGTGGGAGAATGTATCAAAAGCTTTACTAAAGTCAAGGTATATCATGTCCACTGCTTTCCCCGTATCCACAGAGCCAGTTATCTCATCATAGAAGGCAATCATGTTGGTCAGGCATGACTAGCCCTTGGTGAATCCATGTTCACTGTTCCTGGTCACCTTCCTCAACCCAAGTGCTTCAAAATGGATTCCTTTAGGACCTGCTCCATGATTTTTCCAGGGACTGAGGTGAGGCTCTAGTCTGTAGTTCCCCGTATTCTCCTTCTTCCCTTTTTAAAAGATGGGCACTATGTTTGCCTTTTTCCAATCGTCCGGTACTTCCCCTGATTGCCACGCGTTTTCTAAGCTAATAGCCAATGGCTCTGCAATCATATCGGCCAACTCCCAAGCACCCTCGGATGTATTGCATCCGGGCCCTTGGTCTTGTGCATGTTCAGCTTTTCTAAATAGTCCTTAACCTGTTCTTTCACCACTGAGCGCTGCTCGCCTCCTCCCCATACTATGCTGCCCAGTGCAGCAGTCTGGGAGCTGACCTTGTCTGTGAAGACCGAGGCAAAAAAAGCATTGAGTACTTCAGCTTTTTCCAACTTTTGCTGGAGTTGTGTAACTTTTCTAAAGTTAAGCAACTGAGGTTTAGTTAATATAATAGAACTATTTTTGATTAAAGCCAATGCTGTTATGTGGAGCCTGATTCATGGTTTATGGAGCAAGGTTTTATGTTGACACCCTGTGTGCATGCCCTTGCTCTGGTTTTTTTTGCTGGCAAAGGTAGAAAGAGTGGGTTCAGGGAGGTGCACTTTGGAGAAGAATTTGACTACATTGGCAATTTAGAGTAAATTTGTATATTGTCTCTTTTCACTGTCTGCATGGTTTATAGTTTCTATATGGTTTATAGTTTGCATGGTTTATAGTTTCTGTATGGTTTGTAAAATATTATGAGACTCAACAAAAGTTAAAGGTTAGTTTTTATTGTATGTGTGTTTTCAGAATTGTGAATGTTGGCTTATGAATTTCTAATTATAAGGTAACCTTGATTTTTATTTATATTGTTTCAGTATTTTGTAATCTGTGTATATTAAGTGTTCGTGTACTTGTTAATCTGGATCCTGGCCTTGACTACAGTGAAAGATGGTCCCTTTACCCAATTGCTTCATAATTATGGCATCTCCTTCATCCTGAATCTTTGTATAAAAAAAAAATGTCCTTGGCGTGTGAACATTATAGGATATCAAATCTGTGAAGCTGTGCAACCTTCAGTCCTTTAACAAAAATAGTCTATCACCTACTGTTCTCTTGAGTCTAAAAAATTGTCTTAACAAGAAAAGAATAGAATTTGAATTGGAAAGAAATGAAAAGTGTTTGCATATGTATATTGCTCAATTGGATGAACTGTCCCGCAAGCTCTTATTTAGAATGGAGATTGCCCCCAATCAGCTGTTGAGACAAAACATAGTTGGGAGAAGGAAATCATTAGTGGGATTTTTTTTTTTAAATAAACATGTTTAAGCAAACTACATATGTAGAAGCATGTAAGTTCATAAACAGCTCTAAAGCGTGGCTCTCTTGCAATTAGTAGAGACTTATGAACAATTCAGACATAAGTATAGGACTGTTTTGGTGGTTTTAGACTATTCACAAAGTAATACCTCTAGGTCTGATTCTAATGGAAATTCAGAGGTGTCAGACTTGGTGACATAAAACAGACTAGGCAAAATTCATCCCTGTTGTACTGACTTCCGTAGAAGTTTGTACTTTTGTGTCATTCTTTTCAGTTACATGTCTAGGAATAAAGCAATTGCCTTGGTGGATCAAACCCAGTCCAGTATCCTGTCTCCAACAGTAGCCAGCACCATATGCTTCTGAGGATGGTGAAACCCTGCAGGGGCAAATGGGAGGGTTATCTGTTCCATGACGTTCTCAACCTAACCTCTAATAGTTAGAGATTAGCCTAAGACCTGAAGCATGAGGTTTTAAGTCCCTTCCAACAGTATTATTTTAATGTTAATTACTTAACTCGGTATATTCTTGTTATACATATAAATGTACAATCTTTCTTTGAATTTTAGTAAATTCTTGGTCTTAGCAGCATCTTGTGAATTTAGAATTTGTCGTCTTTCAGCTTCATTAACTGTCCCCTTTTTCCTTGTACATGAAGACATGACTCTGTTAAAATCTGTGAAGAGAATATAAATAAATCACCAGAGTTAAAGCTGACTTTTTTCCTACTTCAGAAATAATCTGTTGATCCCTGTTTATATTTATCTAGTGTTAAGTATTCGCGGTATTCAGGAGGAAGATCCCCCCGATGCTCAACTAATGAGACTAGATAACATGTTGCTGGCAGAGGGTGTCTCCGGGCCCGAGAAAAGAGGAAGAGGAGGACCTACGACTGTAGCAGCAACATCAGGTGGCTGTCCAAATGACAATAGCATTGAACACTCTGACTACAGGGCCAAGCTGTCACAGATCCGACAGATATACCACTCTGAGCTAGAGAAATATGAACAGGTGATCTTTCTGCATGGAAGAGTTTTTATCTCAATTAAAAAAATAACCATTTTTCCTTTGCTGTTGGTTGTAAGCGCAGAACAGGGAGTATAATCTATTCATATGAATGCAAGAATGGCAAATTCAATTAAAAATCTTTCAGCTCACTATGTTAGAATAAGACTAAAATGAAAGGACTTTTGACATTCATTAATTTACCTAGTCTGATGTCTAAGATAACTGACAGATTATACTTGTTGCAATACTTTTAAGAGCAAATGGAGGAGTAAAGCTAAACATGAATTAAAATATTCTGGATTTATTCACTTATTGGGGAAATTAAACTAAACTTTAGGGGTACTTTATTGTTTGTTTTTTGATTTAATTTATTTTCAGGCATGCAGTGAGTTCACCACCCACGTTATGAACCTTCTCAGAGAACAGAGTAGAACAAGGCCAATTTCGCCAAAAGAAATTGAACGCATGGTGAACATAATCCATGGCAAATTCAGCACTATCCAGATGCAGCTGAAACAGAGCACATGTGAGGCAGTGATGATCTTGCGCTCACGATTTCTTGATGCAAGGTAATAAACAAGAACAACCCAGTGGCAACAGCTATTGGCTCTGACAACATTTTCTGATGTTTATGTTGTTTGATGCTAGTAATTATAAAAGTTATAATGCCTGCATTTACAACCGTGAACTAGTATAAATATCTTTAAATACACGCCACATGTAGTGTGTTACGAAGTATGCTTAGTTATGATTAATATTACAATCTTTAATAGCTATTAAGTCTGTCTTGCATATTTGCTGAAACAATATAGAGTAGATTTCAGAGGAGATGAGACAAATCCCTGTGGTATTCTTTTCTTTAACACTTTTTTTTTTAAGCAGGAAGAATAACTATTGTGTATTTTTAGGCGTAAACGGCGTAACTTCAGCAAACAGGCAACAGAAGTACTGAATGAATATTTTTATTCCCACCTGAGTAATCCTTACCCCAGTGAAGAAGCCAAAGAAGAGCTAGCGAAGAAGGGTGGCATCACAGTCTCGCAGGTATACAGTGCTTCATTTGAAATTGTTCTCATTGTAAAGATGCTTTTTTATTTTAATAATGATGTGTGTTTTTTGTAAAATGTCAATAGTCCTCTGTCACTAGGAGACTTGCAGTTAAACTCTCATGGCTCATTGTTACCATCTATTATGGTGAAAGATGCTTTTATGCATCCTAGATTTTGTTAGAAGCTGTATGGCAAATTTTCCCCTCTAACCTTAGTTTAAGAGTTACCTTTGGTGGTAGACTCAATAACTACTAGGAGATAATGATAGTTTGGTCAAGTACTGACCAGGGATGTTTTTCTAGGTCTCCAACTGGTTTGGTAACAAGAGAATCCGATACAAAAAAAATATGGGGAAGTTCCAGGAAGAGGCTAACATTTATGCAGCAAAAACCGCAGTGGATGCAACAAATGTGGTGGCCCAAGGTAACCAGGCAAACTCTCCATCAACACCAAATTCTGGTAAGTAAGAACCCCAGTAAGGAAAAGCTGCCTCTAAAAAAGGTATTTCTCATGTTCCTGCTTTCAGAAGCCTCTCTAGTCCAGAGCCAGAGGCTTCTCATTCTTGTTGCAAATGGCTCTCCTAGTCTCTGTATAGCACACTGTCAGAGCACCACAAAGGATGAGAGCCTGTGTGTGTACTGATACTTCCGACTAATCATACAGACATGTTAAAAGATACAATTGAAACTTGTTAATTCTCACCTTTCTAATCTGTCCCACATAATTTGTGCATCCCTGACCACATCTGTCTCCTCAGAAAAAAATTAGTGGCGAGTTCTATAGGGAAGCCTCCATTACACTCCTGAGGGCATTATGCACCAAAAAATTAAGAATTCTGCACGCAATATTTTAAAATTCTGCAAATTTTATTTGTCAAATAAATGTGGAAGCTATAGCATGGCATTGGGGAGCACAGGCCACTGGCTGCACCGAGGTGGGAGAGCACTCTGCACCACACCCCACCACAGGGACACAGACTCAGCAGTGAGGTTGCACCCAACCCTGGCACACAGCAAGGACTGGGCCTGCCTCAGAAACACCCCAGGACCCTGCCCCTCCGTGCCAGGTGCACCAGGTGTGGGAAGGCACGATCCAAGTGTGGAGTGGCTTAGTGTGGGGGATCCAGGTGTGGATTGAGAGGTTCTGTGTGGGGCACTGGGTGCGAGCAGCTCAATGGGGGATCTGGGTGTTGGGGGGGGATCTGGATGCACAGGGGCTTGTTGGGGGGAGTTCTGGGTGAAATGACGATGGGACTTTACAGGGGAGTTCAGGTGAAGGTGGTTGGGGCTCAGTGGGGGGGGGATAGAGCTCAGCAGGGGGGTCTGAATGTGGAGAGCTCATTGGGGAGGGGTCCAGATGCTGGGTGAGTGGGGCTTAGTGGGCGTGGGGATCCAGGTGCAGCTGGTTGGGGCTTGGTAGGATGGGGATCTGGGTGCGGGTGGCTCATTTGGGGTGGTCCACGGGCAAGGGGAATGGGGCTTGGCGGGAGGGTCTGGAGTATGAGGGGGTCTGGATGCACAGGGGTTGGGCGGATGTGGAAGCAGCTCCCTGTACAGTGATCCCTCTGTCACGGAGTCCCCGGGCAATGCTCTGGACCTGCTCCCTACAAAGCCAGTCAGGACTCTGGGGAAGTCTCCTTTCTTTGAGCAGACTGTCTTCAGGGCAAGAAGCTCACACGGCTTCACCTTCCTGGGTCTGACCTTGGAGCATTCAGCATATGCCCCTCCGTGCGCTTCCCACAGCGAGTCCGCCCCGGCGGGGTCCTGGGGAAGCCAGAGGGTCCTGCATCCCCACTTTGCAGTCAGACGTGACTCTCAGCCAGCCAGTAAAACAGAGCTTTATTAGATGACAGGAACACGGTCTAAAACAGAGCTTGTAGGTCCAGAGAACAGGACCCCTCCGCCGGGTCCATTTTGGGGGGCAGTGAGCCCGACACCCACGTCTGCACTTCACTCCTTGTCCCCAGTTAGCTCCAAACTGACTTCCCCTCCAGCCCCTCCTCCTCTGGGCTTTGTCCCTTTCCGGGCCAGGAGGTCACCTGATTCCTTTGTTCTCCAACACCTTTAGCTATCACCTTGAAAGGGGGAAGGGCCCCGGCCATTAGTTGCCAGGAGAAAGAGTGTCGGCCATTTATGCACACTGGCCTTTATCCCACCACCTAGAGACTTAAGAAATGCATAGGGGAAACTGAGGTACCCCTACAATATTTAGAGGAAACATTAAGAACAGTCCCACTTCGTCACACCCTCCCCCTGCAGCTGAAGAGCGATGGGTGCAGGAAGCGTGGCGGTGGGGGAGAGTTTGCAGAGCTTCCTACAGCTGGGGGAGAAATCTGGGGGGTGGGTCTGACAAGGCCCTGAATGCTGTGCAGGGGGAGAACTTCCTCTGCCCAGCCCAGCCGGGACTAGTAGCTGAGCCTGGCACAGAATAGGAGCCACCAGCCGAGTCTTTCCCAGTCCCGCCCCTTGCCCAACAGTGAATTACCTCTCTGTCGACTGCCCTGGGCACCTGAAACATACTGCTGGGAAGGGTCACATGACTGCTCTTGTGGCTTCCCTTTGCTTCCCCATCAGAAAGCATTTTTCTGCGGGGGACATTAATTCTGCGCATGTGTAGTGGTGCAGAATTCCCCCAGGAGTAATATTACCAACAGATATTAACCAAGAACTAAGTATTTATTACTTTAAAAGTTATACTACAGAAGGCTTACTAAGATGTTACAGTACAAAATATTTCATAAATCAAATCTAAGTTAAATGTCGTCAGATGGTGATCCGTTATCCTTGGATATTCTGTTTGCTTACTTCGGTAATTTCAGTAGACCAGTGAGACTTCCCATCAGCAATGCACATTAGTGTGGCTTTACTGAAGATTGTCAAAGGAAAAACCTAAAGAAGTGTTTTTACATCAGGAAGTTACCACCACCTCCTTTTAGACAGTGACTAGAGGAGTGAAAAAACTAGATCCATTTTGTAATGTTAGAGGTTTAATTTGGTGGTTTAAAAATAGAAAGACATTACCGCTTTCCTCTTTACATGAAAATATTATTATTTTTTACATTCATAACTGATGCGGCAAGGCCATAAGTGCCAGGGCTATGAACTGCCAAGCCTTAAGATGCTGGGGCTCAGCCCAGGCACAAATTAAACACTGGTTATATCTCATAGACCCAGGTGTGTGTATCATTCTTCCCATCAATGTGTTATACCTTTGGGACCAGATCCTTGGCTCTCCTTTCCCCCCCCCCATTGGAAGTTGCCCGTAGGGAATTCCCAGGGGGCATGAAGCCATGGGGGAGGGGACATAGTGGCTTGCATGCCAGCAATCCCTAGCTAGCAGAATGGTTCCTAGGAGAATGCTGCTGTTGGCATGGCAGCTCTGCACTGGGGATGAGTGCAGAACGCATTTGAGGCTCAGTCTCAGAAACATGCATAAAACCACCTTTCTACCTCTTACCTCCACACTTGGGTCTTGCACTGAGTGCTGCTTAGCCAGACCCAAGGATTACCCTTTTAATCTCTGTTCATGTTAATTGGAGTTTTGTTTTGAACACCTATTAACTTAATTACTTAATTTGAATTCTAGGTTGTAGACTAGGGGCCAGATTGTGAAAAGTATTTAGGTAACTGAAGATGCAGATAAGTGGCCTATTGGGATTTTCAGAAGCATCCTGATGCTGAACTCCCATTGATTTCAGTGGCAAGTTTGGTACCTAGATGCTTCTGAAAATCCCACCAGGCACCTGTCTACATCTTTAGATGCCTAAATACCTCTGAAAATCTCAAGTGCAGCTCATGTTTAGTAATCGCTGTATCATGTCTTCTTTATAATAGTGTATCCTTAATACTTACCGAACAGGGGAGTGTGTATCATGGACCCAGATGGCTTGTCTTTTGCCAATAAAGACAGTACTTGTATCGGTTTGTTTCTCTTATTTAACCTTTATTCACTTTCTGAAGGCATATATTTGCCCTGGGTATCTTTTGGCAGTGTTTGAAAGTTGCCTTTTTTGTATGTATAATTTTTTTTTTTTAGTTTTCCTTCAAACTTAAGATAACATAATAATTCTGCTTTTGAAGAAAGAGCCAAACAGTTTCTCTGCATTTGGCTAAATTTTATTCTTGCTTTTTTCAGGTTCCTCTGGCTCTTTTAAGATGACAAATTCTGGAGATTCATTTATAAACTTGCAGTCACTGACTTCTTATCAGAGCTCCCCAGTGGGAGCCAATGTGCAGTCACAGGTAGGCGTGTGGGAGAACTGGCACATAGCTTCCTCAACAAGGCAAATGTCTCATTTGGTACTGTTCTTCCCTCCTATATGGATTCAAATTTTTAAAATTAAATAACTGGTTTTGCACATTCAGTATTCACATACTTTAATGAGGATAGAGTAGTGATTCCCACCCCAATTCCTAGCTCTCCTGTATTAGAACAGTGCTCTGTTGATTGGATTTCAAGGAATGATTAAAGCTAAACAAAGTTGGGTTTTTTAATGTGGAATTTGGAGGTTGGGGGGGAACCCTTCAAGGACCCATTTCTCTTGAACTTTGGATTTATAAACTCTAAACTTGGGGCCTAAATTGATCTAACAGTGATCCCATATATCATAGAATCATAGAAGATTAGAGTTGGAAGAGACCTCAGGAGGTCATCTAGTCCAACCCCCTGCTCAAAGCAGGACCAACCCCAGCTAAATCATCCCTGCCAGGACTTTGTCAAGCCGGACCTTAAAAACCGATAAGGATGGCGATTCCACCACCACCCGGGGTAACCCATTCCAGTGCTTCACCACTCTTCTAGTGAAATAATTTTTCCTAATATCCAACCTTGACCTCCCGCACTGCAACTTGAGACCATTACTCCTTGTTCTGTCATCTGCCACCACTGAGAACAGCCGAGCTCCATCCTCTTTGGAACCCCTCTTCAGGTAGTTGAAGGCTGCTATCAAATCCCCCTCACTTTTCTATTCTGCAGACTAAAATAAGTCTAGTTCCCTCAGCCTCTCCTCATAAGTAATGTATCCCAGTCTCCTAATAATTTTTGTTGCCCTCCGCTGGACTCTCTCCGATGTGTCCACATCCTTTCTGTAGTGGGGGGCCCAAAACTGGATGCAATACTCCAGACGTGGCCTCACTAGTGCCGAATAGAGGGGAATAATCACTTCCCTCGATCTGCTGGCAATGCTCCTACTAATGCAGCCCAATATGCCATTAGCCTTCTTGGCAACCAGGGCACGCTGCTGACTCATATCCAGCTTCTTGTCCACTGTAATCCCCAGGTCCTTTTCTGCAGAACTGCCACCTAGCCAGTCGGTCCCCAGCCTGTAGCGGTGCATGGAATTCTTCCGTCCTAAGTGCAGGACTCTGTACTTGTCCTTGTTGAACCTCATCAGATTTCTTTTGGCCCAATCCTCCAATTTGTCTAGGTCACTCTGGACCTTATCCCTACCCTCCAGCATATCTACCTCTCCCCCATCTTATTGTCATCCGCGAACTTGCTGAGGGTGCAATCCATCCCATCATCCAGATCATTAATGAAGCTGTTGAACAAAACCATCCCCAGGACCGACTCCTGGGGCACTCGGCTTGATACTGGCTGCCAACTAGACATCGAGCCGTTGATCACTACCCGTTGAGCCCGACAATCTAGCCAGCTTTCTATCCATTTTATAGTCCTTTTGTCCAATCCATACTTTAACTTGCTGGCAACAATACTGTGAGAGACCGTATCAAAAGCTTTGCATCTTAATTTACATTGTAAATATCAACATTTTCTCATTTTAAAGTGAGTCTTGCTTCATACTTTTAAGGAAAGTTTGACCGGTTAACAGTATTTTAAAATTTTTAAGTTTTTTTAATTTAAATTGAATAATTAGCAATATTATGTAAGCTACATAAGAACTTCTTTATCTCTTTAATAGAGGCTATATGCCCCAGTGGGCTGGGAACCAGGTTGTAATGCCATCGGAACTGGTGACTCGTTGATCGTGAGCTACTGAGATAATCCAACTGATAATATGAGCAGCAGTCAGGAAGTCTACCTTAAACCCCCATAGGTTTAGACTTTTCATTTAATTTTGTTAAGAAATATTTTTGCCTTTAAAAAAACCAACACAAAAACCTGTTATCCCAAATAGGAGGGAAGAGAACCATGAAGGCAATTCCTTTCTTACAAGAAAACCACTTGAGAGGTGCAAGTTAAAACTATTTGGCCCTCTGCATCTTTCCTTGCCACATGCTCTAGGTATTAGAATGCTGTGTTACAACCACACGGCTTCATTTCTTATCCGATCATTTCCCTTGTTAATCCCATCCCATATGTGGTCTTGTTACAGATGGATTCCTTACATCATGTCATACACCAGACAGGAAGATATGACACCATTGTGGGGAACCCTTTGTATACGACGCAGCGCATTGATGTAAGGAGCTTGATTTCACTTTCAGTAGATAAGTGAATTTATTAGCATGAATTAGAGAATGCATTTCTTAACATAGCTGTAAATTACTGTTTGTTTATACAAAGGTGATTTCCAGAAACTAGTGGTCTTCTGCTATTCCTGCTCTACCCCCAGTCACTAAGGGCTTGGCTACATTTGCGAGTTACAGTGCATTAAAGCAGCCCTGGGTGCACTAGCTCACTACCCATCCACACTGGCAAGGCACGTAGAGTGCTCTGACTCCGTGGCTACAGCGCTACTGGTACTCCACCTCGGCAAGTGGAATAACGTTTGCTGCGCCCCCACTGGAGCACTGCAGCGCCAGTGTGGACGAGTGTTGCATTACTGCGCTCTGATCAGCCTCTGGAAACGTCCCATAATCCCCTTTGGCAAGAGTGGCCACTTGACTTTTGTTTTGAACTCGCTGTAGGAATGCGGATATGCCATTTGAAAGCTCTGTTTCTGACAGCCGACTGCTTATCTGCTCTGAGATAAAACAACCATTAGTGTGGAATGCTGTGTGTGAGAGGGGGTGGGGGTGGGAGAGGAAGGAGGAGGTCTGCTGTTGTCTGAACTTACAAGACAGCATGCTGACATGCTCTCGGCCCCCCACAAACCCACTCTCTCCCCCCACATACACACACAACACACTCCCTGTCGCACTCTACCCCACCCCACCCCCATTTGAAAAGCACGTTGCAGTCACTTGCATGCTGGGATAGCTGCCCATAATGCACCGCTCCCAATGCCGCTGCAAGTGCTGCAAATGTGGCCACGCCAGTGCGCAAGCAGCTGTCAGTGTGGACAGACTGCAGCGCTTTCCCTACTGCGCTCTCTGAAAGCAGGTTTAACTCACAGCACTCTACATCTGCAAGTGTAGCCATGCCCAAAATGCAACAGAGGGTCCTGTGGCACCTTTAAGACTAACAGAAGTATTGGGAGCATAAGCTTTCGTGGGTAAGAACCTCACTTCTTCGGATGCCCAAAATGATTGCCTGTGTAGCTAGAGGGACTAGCTAGCCTCTTTGAGTTACTCCAATGGAAAGGCTATTGTCTCAGCCAGAGATCTGCAAAGTGTGGGGCATGCCCCACTATGGGAGTGTAGAGGGATGTCTGGGTGGGGTGTGGTAGGGCCCGGGCCAGTCTCCATGGGGGCAGGAAGGGAGTATCACCCAGCTCCTCCCTGGCCCCAGCTCTGCTCTGGTCCTGTACTCAGCTGCGTCCCTGACGCCCAGTGCTGTGCCTGGCCCCGTCCCCAACCTCAGTGTGGCTCCAATCCTGGGTCTGCACCAGCCCCCAGCCATGGCTGTGGTTCCGTTCCTGGCCTGGGGATGAGGCTGGGGGCAAAGCTAGGGATGGACCCATACCTGGCCGCAGGCCCAGATGCCAGCCCCTACCTCTACCCCTGTCTCTTCCATGACCCCACCCCCGAGCCCCAGTCCTGCTCCCAACCCCGGCTCGGTGGGTGGGTTGGGGGATGACACTCAAAAGTTTGGGAACCACTGGACTAAGCTTTAAAAAATATCCAGTGGGCTATAAATAGGCTGACCAGATGTCCTGTTTTTAGAGACACATTTTTGGGGGACTTTTTCTTATATAGATGTCTATTCTCTCTCTCTTCTCCCTCCCCCCCCCCCCCAATCCCCTGTCCTGTTTTTTCACAGTTGATATCTGATCACCCTAGCTATAAAGGAAATGGCATGCTGAGACCCCACTCAGTCTAGCACTAGCATTTTCTTTGGCTTATGCGAAATTCTTATCTGAAACACACTGCTTTACAAGCACAACAAACTTCATATCCGTTTCAGGCTAGCTAATGACCTGTAAATGTTAGATTCTCCTGTTTTTGTTTTAAATTGTGCTTGGAATGTTCTTTACTGGAGGTGGGAGAAGGGGCCTTGTGTGGCAAATAGGTTAATGCACCAATCTTTCACTTCTGGAGATGCAGTTAAAATCTAGGCATAGGTCACCAGTGAGATTTTGGTGCGTCATGTCCTAGTCTTAGATTCATGCATATTACAATCTCTATCTGGAATAGAAGAGCAGCTGGTGTGATGCAGGTGATGAGGTAACTTGCACAGAAGAGGTGTGTGTAGGAGGAGCTTTTGTAGCACATGTCTGCACTGAGCCCTGTTCTAATTGTTTAATTCCTTCCTTTCATAAGCACAAAACTGTTCTATTGAAATGTGGAAATAAGATAACTAAAATGCTTTATCTTTTGGATGCAAGTAACATCTTAAGGATTTAATGACAATAGATTTATCCCCCATTCAGGCTAATGGCAGCTGGCAGGACGCTACCACCCCTTCATCAATTACTTCACCTGCTGGAGACCCTGGAAGTGTTAATTCGGATGCGTCTAATTAAGTTTTTAGGACCTATTGATGAGAGGAAAGAGGTCATTAGTGTAACTTGTCAATGTTGCTCTCTTGCCAATACTATTGTTTATACAACTTGACACACAGCTAATTACCTCAGAAAAACCCTGGAACCAATAGAAGATTGTGATCACAGTGATACCTCTCTACCTCTCAGCATGACACGGTTGAGTTCTTTTTACTTCTGCCCATTGGGATGTGAAATTGTTTTAAAAGAACTTGCTTCATTTTCCTAACCAAATTCATTTTTTAAATATCAATTTTATGGTAAGAATCTGAAAGTATCTCTTCTAAGACTTGGCATTTGTCTCAGATTTTCCAGTTAAAGTTGACTTATTTTAATTCCCATAAGATTTTTTTTTACTATGAAATTTCTGTTCTAGTTGATAGTTACTAACAATTAAACCCCCTGTATTGTAATTGTACGCGTTCTCTGTATTGTAATTTTGTATAGGAAAACAAGCTTTTCTTTTCTTTACTCAAATTCATTCTGAACTAATTAACCAGAACAGAACATTGCTTTACCAAAACTTTCATTGGACTTTGCTATTGAATAGGAACTTCCATCTTTTGTGTCATTTCATGTAGTTCTAATTTAATGTCTAGTGTAAACTCAGACTTCCCTGTGAATAGATTTTGTGCATTTATGAAAATGTTAATACAAAGTCCTCATTTTCAGTTGAAATTTTATCAAAGATAATAAACTTCCAAAGCCTTTTTCCTTCCTGCCTTTTCATGAGCCTCCCCTTATCCTTATGAACTTGCTGGTTAGTAGCAGTTTAGTGCAGCCATTTTGACAGTGAAGAAATCTCACTGTATATGAATGCAAAAACAACCCATGCACCATTACTCAAAACAGCATTTGCTAAAATGACCTGTTACATCTGCCAGGGTACAATCCGGATCGTAGGACAGCTGTGCCCCCTTAATTCTCCAGTCTGATGTACACTATGCCCTGCTTTGCTGTGTGAGCTGCCACTCTGCCCACTTACCCCAGCCTTTAGCATGCAAGTCACCCCCAGACCTATACCAGAGTGTTATGCCCAGCCACTCTTGAATTATATATGGGCAACACCTGCATATCCCTAGTCCCAGCCTTGCACCCCAGAAATGTACCATCTTATACTATTTGGTTACTGAGCAATACAAGCTCATAAAGTCTGTCATTTTAACCTGGAAAGAGATTTCCCAATCACTTCAATCAACCACACTGTTTTAGATAAAATATTAAAACAAATTTATGAACTATAAAAATATAGATTTCAGTGTTTATAGGTGATAGAGGCATAGAAAACCAGAATTGATTACAAAAGAAATAAAGGACAAAATTGCAAGCCAATTCCTACACTTTTTCATGATAAATAAGTTTTGAAAGCAAAAGGATTTATCTTACCCAAATCTTTCAGCTGTCCATGCTAACTGGACAGTCTTCCAGTCAGGACCATGCCCCTCTCTCACAGTTCACTGATGAGTCTTTTTGTCTTCCAGACAATCTTGCTTCCTTGAGTACAGAGGGGGAAGGAGAGGCCCCGTGGTGATATCACTGTCCCTTATTTATACACTCTGTTGGGCTGCAGACAATGAATTCATAGTGTCTGTCAGGTGGATTGCAAATGTATTACTCACACCTCTTGTGCACCTGAGGCTTCACATGTGTTGCTTTTGTTTACTGTTTTTGTTACTTCTGAGGGGCTGGTCTGTGGGTGTTTCCCAGACCCACGGGTTTCAGTAACAAGCATATGGCAAAATCAGAACTCCCTATACAATGATGATACGCACATTTTAACAGGACAGTAATGTTTAACAGGTTATGACTTTTCAAATGATACCTCACATGGCATACTTCATACAAAACATATAATAATCTTAGAACATTGGTGAATATAGAGGTTAGTGTGTGACACTAACATGCTGAGAGGAAGGATCGTGGTACTGTCTAGCTTTTCTTAGTACAGAAACAATTGGTCCAATTCTGCCATTACATACACACGAGTAAATGGAAGCCATGTTTGTCTCCCTGTGTTCTTTTGAATTATATAGAATCCAAGTGATCCTACAACAGGTGCTTTAGAGAGGAGTCTTGCCTCTCTTACTGACTTTTAAATGCTAAACAGGTTTAGACCATTATGAATTGGATAGTAGGTGATTGCATGGTGTTTCAGAAAGTTGCTTCTGCTAACAAGGGCTGGTTTCTAATTAATATATATCATATAGTTTGAATATTTAACTTTCTGTGAGCAATATTGCCCCAGATCTGTGGGCTTAAAAAGTCTGTATAAAAATGATCTAAATAAGGCTGCCAATTTACAGAATGTAATATGAAAGATAGCAAAGAATGTGTAGGGGACTAATGAAGGCTTCTAAAAATCTGTTGGGGAAAATCAAATTAATAAATTTATCAGTGTTTCTTTTAGGAGATACGTACATCTGGATAATGAACATATCTTAACTAGGTATTATAATTTTTAATTTGGAAATTTAAACATGGACAAATTGGATAAATCCATGTGACAGAGCCTGTCCTGTTAAGGAAAAAGCTAATATATTTTTCACTGCCATTCTGCACCCTATCTCCAGTAGTATTGGAGCTCTTTGCTGTTTTGGGGTTATATAACTTAAAGGGTTGCCAACCGTACAGGATTGTAGAATCTGCAGGAATTAAAGACTGGCATGTGATGAAACCTCCAGGAATATGTCTAACCATAATTGACAACCGTGTTTGTGTATACACGTTAAATACCATTTAAAACATTTGACTTAGCCCTCCAGAAATGACTGCATTAGTGTCTTATATTGTGCTTAACCTTTACAAAATGTAAAGTGCCTTTTTAAAGAGAGAGTAGCATTATTCCCCTATAGAGAAACTGAGGCCAAAACATAAGTGACTTATCAAGCTAACACAGTAGGGACTTTTAGGATAGGATAATCCGTAAAACTTCCCTCTAAATAGGAGATAAGTTTTCAAATCCTGCATGCCTGTCTTTGGGCCTACATGTTCATAAACAGTATGTCTAGTCAGTCCATTTTTGGCTTTTTTGTTATACATAACATGAGGAGAGAGCCTTAGGGCCTATGGGTCTGGTAACAGCATGCCTGGCCGGCTCAGGTTCTGACCGACGACCTCTCACAAGGATTTCTATGTAAATAATCATTACAGCATTCGCCTTTGCAACCACTCCTCTGTGCCTCTCGCTGCTGGCCCTAGAACTCTGGCTCCTTTTCCACGATGTTACCTCCCCCTCCCCCAAAACTACACTTCCCAGCACCCACTGCGATAATAGGCGGGGCCTATAGCCGGTATATCTCCCAGAAGCCCTTGCAGCGGGTGAACGTTGGCGGCGCCCTAGCCCCGCGCAGAAATTATTCTTTCCAGTGGTTCCGCGGTGCATACAGGAGGGGTTGCGCATGCGCCGCCCCTTGGCCCGACTCCCGCCCAGAACTACAAGTCCCGACAGGCTCTGCGGTTGTGGCGGGGCGGCCGCCGGGTTGTTTGAGTGAGGGCAGAAGGCGGCAGGGATGGAGGCGAAGCCGGAGGAATCTGGGCGGGGCCGGTGAGTGGGGTGCGG